TTTTAATCCAGGTTACAATAATCCACACTTTTAATCCAGGTTACACTCTTCCCTCAAGGACACATTTTACAAAGTAGCTACATACTGTGCAGGTATAAATATACATTTGTTTATATTTTTGTGTACATTTATTTTTTAAGCTATTTGACTTTTATTTTTTATTATTCAATATTTTACTAACAGAATAGTAAAATAGCAACCTGTTTTTTGTGCGAATTTCTATGTCAGTCAAATGTTCAATTTTGGAATAAAGGGGTGGAAATTAAAACATTGTTTGTTTGTTTTTGCTATTCATCGATTAATTGAAAAAATATCGGCCGATGAATCGATTATTGGAATAATCGTTATTTGCAGCCCTAGTTCTCTTCTCTTTGACGTTTTACAAAAAGCCACAGACTGAGCAGAATGTTCAACAAAGCTATGAGATCCTCCATTTTTGTTGTGTATTTTTTCAGTCTTCTTCTAATACTTTAGTTGTGGCTAGTAAATAGCTTAATGAAGCATTACTGCCACCAGCTGGTAAGATGAGTTGAGTCAAGTCTAACTGTTCTGAGCCGTCGCTATCGAAAAGGGGCAAAAGAGGTTAGGGTACTTTATTTATACCCAAGGGGAGATTTGGTTTGCAGTGGTACAATGTATAAGCATATATCGATGTAAAAAGTAAGAGTACCTCAAATAAACCATTCTCAGATAATCGTGCTCAAGGTTCCACAGGTCATAGTCAAAGCAAAGTAGGACATAAAAGAGGTGACTAAAAACTTGAAAATCCAGCTAGCATAAAAAATATATTAAAATATTAATTTATCATTAGATAAAAAAGAGTGATGGCTGGCTAACTTTAAAGGCATGTAGCTAATGACAAGCGGGTTGGAGGATTGAAGACAATTGATTTTAGTTTATTTATTTTACTGATCAGTTAAATAAACTTACCATGCTCTGTTCAGTAAAATACTCGACACAATATAGTTCCCTGCTTTGGCTGTGCTGAACATGAAACTTAGGCAGGGCAGCCGACTCGGGACTCGAAAGTCCAGGTTTGATCCCCAGTCATTGCGCATCTCGTGGTGTCTCTGAGCAGCACACTCTGTCCCCAATTGCTCCCCGGGCGCCTTCAATAGCTGCCCTTTGCTCCACCTGCGGGTGGATGGGTCAAATGCAAAGAGTCAATTTTGCCATTGTATGGGAACATACAATGATGACAACACATAACACATTAATATTTTTATTCTTAAGTGAACAGCCATGACTTAAAGTAGTCTTCATGTGCCCTCTGCTGGATACATTGTACAATTACGGCTGGTTCCAGAATTTTAGAGGTGAAAATTAGAAGTGTTTATATCAAAGCATAATGGGACAATTATCATCAATACCAGTATAACTCCAAACGCCTATATCGGCTCTACAGACATGTCGGACGGGCTCTAGTTCATACTAATATGTTTGAGTCTTAAATTTTGCTTGTCAAAAAAAAACCTTTACATTCCAAATCAGATAAAGGTATTTTTGAGGTCCTGCCAGCCAAGCTGTTCCTTTCTCTGTAAATTCAAAAAAATGTTCAATACAAAAACAACTGGACTTTATTTGTAACAGAAGACGTTTCTCTCATCATCCGAGGAGCTTTCTCAATTCAAAGAGCAGAGAGTGAGAGATTCAGGTTATAAGGCTGAGAGAGATAAGACACACACACATATGCAGATTGACAATTCACACCTTAACAGTAGGGATTTATTAAGGTCTTTGTTTCACAGTCGAGGCCCCTCTGTTCCCATCAGGTGTGAAAACCGGCTGGGAATCAGTCTTAAAGTTGCATTATATGTTTTTGAAAGTGGAAATCTGAGGCCTCCTCCTCTGTTAAGAGACGGATTTTCTCTTTTTACATAAATTGCCTCCTTCACCCCCCTCTCAAACCATCTGTGTTCTCGGTCCAAAATGTGCACATTTTGGTCCTCAAAAGAGTGTCCCTTATCTGTGAGGTGGAGGTGAACAGCTGAATCTTGTCCAGAGGAGCTGGCTCTCCTGTGTTGAGCCATGCGTCTGTGAAGAGGCTGTTTAGTTTCTCCAATGTAGAGGTCTGGACAGTCCTCGCTGCACTGGACCGCATACACTACACCACTCTGTTTGTCCTTAGGGTGGACCAGCCTCTGTCTGAGATAGGATAGGTATCCAGCGTAAAACAAATAGCCAAATCTTTCATGCGAGTTTGCTCGCTGTGGTGACTCCTGAAGAAGGAAGCAGCTGAAAGAAAAAAGCAGCAGATCTGCGAGTGTGTGTTGTGTCTATCCAAACATGATGCTTTTTATCTTAAATGTCTCAGGCCCAGTGAGTGTCAGGATGGAGCCCACCTGCCGTAAGGACAAACCCAAGCTGAACTCCACCCCAACCAGAGGAGACCGAGCCAAGCACAAGTCCGCTCAGCAGGAGCTGAAGCAGAAACAGAGGGCTGAGGTAACCAAGCCGAACAAAGTTTATTCATGTTGTTTCTGACTCTGTGACCAATGTCTGTTTGGCCTCTTTTAACAGATATATGCTCTGAACAAAGTGATGACGGAGCTGGAGCAGCAGCAGTTTGAGTCCTTCTGCAAACAGATGCAGTCACAAGGAGACTGATGGTCATGCTGACGTGTCCTTTTTATCTGTCACTGTTACAGACGTCAAATCACAGTTTGTTGTAGCTGTACATGCATTTATTTGTACGCTGACGGTTCAGAACAGTTATTACAGCTGATACTGCTCCCAGAACAGGTGCTTGTTTTATTTAACTGCATTTTGTTTTAACTGCCGCAACAGGAAAAATAAAGACAAAACGTTCTAAACCTCAAACAAATTGGTTGGTTCAAAAAAGCATGCAGAATCTTGATTTTCCCTCAGTAACACTCATCCAGCTGAGAAGACTGAAGTTGGTGTTTTCACATATGGTTTATTTTCTACTTTCACGTCAGCAGATTCAGTTCTGTGTTACATTTTATTCTGCATCAAGTCTATGTCAATTTAACTGAAGCAAACACTCCTTTGTTTTGTTTTTATGCAACATTTTCTCAATCTAATGGCGGGATGCGTCTCTTGAGTTTATCAAACTTCCTGTTTGGCACGTGGCCTGTAGGACACCGTTTACTACGACGGAGCTTTAGGGCCACGCTCAGAGAAAAAACAATTAAAAGCCATAAAATTACGAGAATAAAGTCCTGGTATGTCAAATAAAGTCTTAATATTACGAGAATAAAGTCGTACGAGACTTTTTGCAGCTCTCGTGTTTTTTTTTGACTGTTTGTTTATTTTCCACGAATCGGATCGACCTGTCAATCAATCCAGTAGGCGTGTCAGCAAATGACCAATCTGAAGCTAAATGATTGACAAATCAAGGGTTGCATTGTGAGTGCTGTGTCTTTCAATGCCAGTCACTGTTTTATGACTTAGTCTGCGATCACTTTTGGGTCACTGAAATACGCCTCCGTCCACATTATGTCACAACTAAATCCGTCAATACAGCCGTTAATTGCAATGCCATACGGCTTCAGTTTATCATACAAGTGTTCAACATTCTTCATTTTACCACACGCCTACTGGATTGGTTGACAGGTCGCGTCATGGATCCGACTCGTGGGGAAAAAAACAAAACACGAGAGCTGCAAAAAGTCTCGTGCAACTTAATTCTCATAATACTAGAACTTTATTCACGTAATGTTATGGCTTTTAATTTTTTTTTTCTTAACGTGGCCCTAAAGCTCCGTCGTAGTTTACAGTAAACTAATGAAAAAGTTCTTTAAAAACCTACTGACAGTCTGTTCATGGTGTCATTTAACAGCTCACAACATAAATGTGTAACAGACCAAAACACCAGAAATCAGCAGTTGTTTAACATGATTTATCATGTTCCGATGATTCACTTCATTCATACTTTGTTTACTTAACCACATGGGTTAGAAGGGGGTAACATTTGTTTCAAAGGGCCACATCAAGATGTTTAAAGCAATCAAAGGGCCGCATAGAGAATCGTAAAATACATTTTCTTTATGAAAGATGATCTAGAATACCTTTTTCTTGTGTCATAGTTGGCATGCTTTATAAAATTAAGTCTTTTCAAAATCCTTTAGGAATATAAGACATTTTCTGTAAACTGGCTCTTGTGACAGTATGTTATACATGTTAGTGGAAATATGCAAAACAAACATATGTTTCTAAGTCTTTAAGGTTCTGTCTAGTTCTGGAAACACGACTTAAAAATTATTATTTTTTTTTTAAGTTTTGTGTAAGATGTTTAATTTAACATATCCTGATGCGTGCTCAATAATCCAGGTAGAAAAATCTATAAAAGTTAAGTCAGGTCCTCTGGACATTCAAAAAAAAAAAAATTTGTAGAAACGTTTCGTCTCTCATCCGAAAGACTTCCTCAGTCTGAGGTGCTGTATTCAGCATGTTTAATTTAAATATCCTTAAGTCTCGTTGATAAATTGTTTTGTTTTTTTGTTTTTTTTATCAGTCTTTTTTAAACAATTGTTTTTTTTACTAAGAATATTGGGGGCCTGATGGAGCTTGTCAAAGGGCCACTTTTGGCCCTCGGGCCTTCATTTGTGTTTAGACGTTTGATGTGAGCAGGGCATTGATCCATGACTTGAAATGAAGTGCAAACGATCCCCACAGCTGCTTTGTCGCCCAGGCTGCAAATGGTTTGTCCCACCTGTTTGTTTAAAAAATAAAAAAATTTGAATTTGGCTTTTGTTTTTCTTGCCTGTTGTCCCAAACCCATTCTGAACTGTGTGTCCCTGCAGCTGTCTCAAGTTGAACTTGATCAAACTTGCCCTCACTATTTTAAAATACATACCTGCAAACTACCGTGTTTTCCACAGTACACGTCGCACCACCCTATAAGTCACATCAGTCCAAATATGTAATAAAGTGGAAAAATCCATAAATATGTTGCTTTGCCGTATAAGTCACATCTGTATTATGCATCACCGCTGACGTGTTGCGTTTGTTACGCGTCACCGCTGACAACCTGGAAATTTGAGTCAGTGTTGTGCCAAAAATCGATTGGCGGCCAAATGGTGGCGGCAGGAGTGCACTGGAGGACTGTAACAAGAATTTAACAAGATTAACACTTAAAAACAATTGTTTGTTTGCTCGATATTATAGTAAAGGTGTGTCTCAGTCTAACTTTTCTTTAATAAATGCACTTTGACGGTCAAATCAGGTGCATTTCAAAAGCCGATTAGCGGCCACGGGAGCGTGCACGGGAGAACTCGCTGTGCATTTCTTCGAAATTTGTTGAGCTAACTACCTAAAAACAATTATTTGTTTGCTCGAAATTATAGCAAAGGTTTATCTCAGTCAAACTTTTCCTTAATAAATAATAATAATGTGTATGTATTGTCATCGTTGTATGGGAACATACAATGATGAAATTGGCTCTCTGCATTTAACCCATCCACCACCAGGCAGAGCAGTGGGTGGTCTTTGGAGGCAACTGGGGATGGGGTGTCCTGCTCAGAGACACCACGAGATGTGCAATGACTGGGGATCGAACCCAGGACCTTCGTTTCCCGAGTCGGCTGTCTTGCCCCTACAACATGTCAGCCCCTACTTTGACGGTCAAATAAGCTGCATTTCAAAACACGGACGTAGGAGCGTGCACGGAAGGAGCGCCACCTACATTCTTCAATTAATATGTTTATTTTTTTTTATATAGGTTTAGAGATTCATATTTTTTGCTTTTTGTTTGTGAAACAAGAGGAAGCTGGTTCTGGTTCGGTCATTGGACTCAGTGTTACACCATATTCTGTAACCTGCAAAAGTGCGTGCAACACTGCCCCCTACGGTCACAATATATGGTGGTCACAAAATATGGTGTAACACCGGTTCGCAACGAGCTCCAAACAGTCAGGAAGTTGATTCATTTGCTGGGTGGAGGGTTGGGGGTGCGATAGATGAAGCTTTTGTCCTTGTTACCCATGACCCAGGAGAAATTTGATAGTCGGCCCGTCTCCGAGGCCGTCGGGGAGTCAGATTCAGATAAGTTTTGATTGTTGATTTTCTTCAGGTAGACAGATTTTTTTCCTTCTTCAGCTTTGAGTCTATCTGGACGTTCTGGATCCAAAATGACCTAATTGTGGGAGTCCATTCCACTGATCCATGTTATGAGTCTCCCTCAAGGTCGAACCCACCATGCTGACAAGTCCCATAAGCCGCAGGTGGCCTGCGATTCTCATAAATCGCCTCCACCGTGTGGTTTAGCTTGTAAATCAGCTGATTTTGAGTACTTACAGCACGAACCACGTGGGTTTACCCACGCTCAGCGTGCCGAACACTGAAAACTTCTAGTCCACGCCCACCTGTTGTGTGGGCCCCACCCGGTCCGTTATAAATTGCATCTGGACTGAAGCTCGACTCCCAAAGGCTTACTCTTTTTCTTCAGCCTTTTGAGAGCCAGTGAGGCCCAGTTTTTCAAGGGCTACCCATAAGCCCCCAGTATACTGCCGCGTACGTCCATACGCAGAGGTACGCACGTACGTACGCGGAAGTACGAGCGTACCCCCCAGGGCATGTCCGTGCAAAGGTCAAATTTTTATGACCGCATACGAGTATGCGGTGTCGCACAATAAACTGCCCAGCGACGGACTGTTTTGTATGCGACACCAATGTATTAAATTCCCCTTCTTCATCTCTGATCTGGCCTTTTCTTTTGTTTTTTTTGTTTTTTTTTGCCAAAACGCAAGTGATTTCTTCCTCCTCCGTTGACTTCATAACTGAAATGGTGAGAAATGAAGGAATTTGTCACGAGCGAATTAAACTCAGGTCCAGCGTGGCTGCGGGAGGGTCTGGAGATTTCCTGGTGGGCTGGTCTGATGTGTGGGCTGTAGAGCCAGCGCTCTCTGTTTTTTTTGTTTTGTTTTTTTAGATCTTTTTATTAACAACATATAAACACAGAACACCGCTGCGGCTGAGACTGCCAGCGCTCGCTTTTTTTTCTTTTTTCCGACCTATCAATCAATCCAGTAGGCGTGTCAGCAAATGACCAATCGGCGACCTCAATTTGTTCCGAAGGTAAACGCCCCTTGTCTGTGAAGCTGCTATGCAGCTGCTCGGAGTGTACGCTGGAGTACAAAGTCTGAACCCTCTGTGTACAGTACACGTGTACGTACGCATGAACGGACATACGCGGCAGTATACTGGAGCCTTTACACTCATGGAATCTGGGGTCACAATACATAACCAACGTTTTATTTCATGTAAGCTACGCCCTTTAAAAGCTGTCGCTACTGGGTTTAAAAGGTGGAGTAGGATATGGTCCATGCCTCACTGGGTCTGTCTGAGAACCATAAAAAACACCCTGATATCCACCTAAACCTCTTTCTTTATTCAAACGTAATTTCGCACCATTCATCCATGTACCTGGTGCATACTGGATTACAGGCATGCAGCCTTTGTGCCTGATCTTAACTGAAGTAATGTTTATTCATATCAGGCAATAGAGGAGTAAGAGAATAGAAAAATTTCCAATGAGGAAGAAGGAATTTTCCTGTTTGAACGAGTAATCGTAGAAAATGCCCACTAATAATGACAGAGCAAGGCTGTGTTGTTAGGCCCGAACAGCGAAGCGCTGCGAATGCCTGTTGTAATCGTTCTGTTCAGGCCCGAGCTACAATTTTTTACGCTAAATGAATTGGCGTTTTGGGGGCCTTAACATATACCAAAAGTCACCAAATTTGGCGGACGCATAAGGACTGGTTTAAAATTACGTATTTTAAGGGCGTGGCAAAAATCGCAACAGAAACGGCTCAAGAGCGCCATCTGGAAATTTTCAAAATACCCTCCGCCTTAACCTTAGTTTGTCGTAGAAACATGAA